GTCTAATCGGAACAGGAAGTAAATATTAAAGCCACTGACATTTGGGGGTCAGTTGAAGCACAGCAGAGAGAAATCCGATTCGTTTAGAGAAACCTAACTTATTCACCAAGTATCTAGCAAAGAGTCTCAGATCTAAATGGATCATTGGGAGCATATTAAATAGAAACCTCAACTTGCACAGTTCCCTTTCGACGTGTGTGGAAAGCAGAAGGTGTTCTAGAAAAGCACACTCATCGACACAGATGGGAATCTTTCTTTTTTTTTCAGCACAGTTTGGCCGCCCAGATGCCAAGAAAGGCCTTCTATGAAAATACATCCCCTCACTGTGCCGGGTGACAGAAAGGGGTCCGCCTGGTTTGGCGCCGTGTGCTCTCTGCAGGGAGGCTTTATAAATATTCTGGGCGCGGCTCCCGGTGACATAGCAATGCTTGGCCGCGCGTACGTTCGTCAGACTCATTCTCTCCCTGACTGCGCAGGCTTGGGGTGGACCCCGAGCCGTCAGTGGCCGCTGGACAGGAGTCGGAAAGCAGGGGGAGAAGTAAAAGGCTATTGTGACTTCCTTCGTGTCTTGTGATCGCTTTAGATTGCACTCTGGAATCAGCGGGTCTATTCTTAGAGCGCATACACCCTGCGTGAACATTTCAGTATATCCGTCACGCCGTGTGACTAAGACTGGCCGAAACATGCGGAATCTGGGTCCTGTGAACGACCACCTACTAAACGCGCATGTCACACAACCTCAGTTTGTATTTACAGTAAGGTGGACGCCAAGTCTCGGCTCTATTTTCCCGGCCCAAAGAGAAAAGGACAAATGGTGAGATAACAGGCCAGTGACACGTCTGCGTGAAGTTCACAGTTCTAAGGCTTCATTCAAGTCAACTGCCCAAAGCAAGATTTGGGAGCGTTTGATCAGGGAAAACCACGGAACCATCAGAAGCCCAGCTCTGGGGTCCGAGGCAATGAGGAACTGCCGAGAACAGGCGCCACGCAGCTAAGTGACGTGTCCATTCTGTAAGCTGTGACTTAGTTCAATGATACGGCAGTGTCCATCATGTTAAGTTAACATAGGTAGTTTGATTTTCTTAGTATTATGCTTTTTTGTTTAATTTATAAGTCAGCTATATTTTATATGTATAAGCATAAAGCGTCTCTTCCTAATTTCATGTACAGCTGATCCCTAGTTTCCTGTTTATTTGGTGTTAAATAGTGTAAGAGAATTAACTCAACACTGAGATTTTTAAGAATTTTTCTTTTGCTTTATAGAATTCTCATTACAAGAAATATTATTTTGAAAGCACATATATATCCGTAAGCTTACAAAGGGAGTCAACTATGAAACTCCAGTGAGCTCCTCACGTGATTTGCTTTGGAAACGCCCCCTGCTCTGAGGAGCAGGCCGTGGAGCAGAGGGTCCGAGCTGGGAAAACGAGCATTTGGAGAGAGCGAGGTCGGGAGTCCCGAGGCCACAATCCCTTCCACTTCCCGGAGGTTGGGGAGTGGCCGTGACAGCCTGCTGCCAACACGGCCCTGTTTTAATTTTGTGTGAAATACGATATCTAATAATAGCAGCTAACCTAGTGATAAATGAGAGAATATTTTTGTTGGTTTGTTTGAAATCCAGAAGTCTCTACGGGCGAAATTGAGACCCCCCGGAAGGTCATCATTCGCTTTGGCCCAACAGCGGCATTAAAAGGCTTTGGTCACAGGCAGAGTCCCTTGCAGTCCCTCCTTCTCCCCGGAAGAGTGCGGGTTGCTCAGTGGGCCATCTGAGTACTTTGTGAGTTAAACTAACACAGGTTCCTGGTGTGGTCACTCTAAACTGTTCTTCGACGTGACCTTGGTTGCGGCGATCCTGTGCACAGACAGTTCTTTCTGGAGACTGGTCCAGCCCGTGCACCTGCGTCCTGCCCAAACTGCCCTCGATCGCGAGCGACCCAAACCTTTCTCCGCTGAAAACAGACAATGCCTCGAGTTCTTTGTCTCTTCTTTCGACTGACCTTTGGGATCCGTTCGACGCCGTCGTTTCCTTGGGAAAAGAGATGACTTTGCAAAACCGACATTTCAAAGGTGAGAAGTCACAGCCCGCCGACTAGCTGGTTGTTTCATTTCTAGACTTCCTTCGAGTTGCAGAAGATGAGGGCGATTCTTGTGTTATGTTTAAGAACCGCTTTTAAACATTTGTTTTGGAGCAATAGTTGCTATTCCTGTTCGCTGAACTCACTTCTGTGGGTTTCATTTATTTCTCCGTTTTGCAATTACCGGTTTTTTTTTTCCCCCTGGGTTCATGTTGACCTATATATATTAAAATTTGAATTTAAAATTTCTGGTCGCTGGAGATGAAGTTCTCTCGCAGAGATAATGAGGCGGCGTGGATGTAGCTTTTCTACATGCGTTGTGAATTTCGGTGAAGGCTGTGTCCCCTGTCATTGCTTTTAGCCCTTTCTGGTTCTGTCCTTGGCACCACGTCTCACTCTTTCTCTGAAGCAGGTCACTGGCCTGTCCTCCCCACACTGTGCTGAGGCTGGAGGACCACGGAGCAATCGACGACAGCGTTACCCAAAAATAATACCATAAAATCACGTGAAACGTTCAGCACTCTTTCACGTCGTGATCAGCAGACTTTTTTTTTTCTGAAAAATAATTGAATGCTCATTGCCGGAGGCCCAGAAGAGTGCTGTTTATTCCTTCGTGTGCTTCTTCACCTAGCATTTTTGTTGAAATTAATGAGCAGTATTCTAGATTTATTTCGAGAAATGTTACATTGTGTTTTTTTATTTAAATATTAGTAGTTTAATTACTGAAGTATTTTCATATCCAGCTTATAAGTACTGAGTATAAGAATTATTTTGAAACCATAAAAAATCAACAGTATGACGACAGAAATAATCATGTTTATGGAAATAGGAGAGGAATTTTCTTAGAGGCAAACAGGAATTTTGTTTAGCCTCTTGTGTAACCACAAACTACATCTGAGGAGAATCTCAAAAAGCAGAGATGAGACCCCCATGCCCATTACTTTTTAAATCCTGAAGCCATCACCAGCCTGTGCTATAACCCATCGATTCGTTTGGAAAGTACTTATTTCTGATGGAACTGGATTTGCATATCATGCCGATTCATTTTTCATGTAAATGATTGTGACTTTGGCTTATTCAATTGGACTATCATTTTGGCGATGCGTGGGAGCATTAGCAGTGGCAAGATAGAATGAGAAAATTAGTATACGATTACCAAACAAAGAGTTATAAAGCAGGGGTCTGGCCGAGAAAAATAAAAATACCGTTAAGGACTGTGTAACTTTCAGAATATGGGAGCCCGCGTGGGGAGAGGTTAGACGTCTTGGTGCCACCAGGCTGTGGCCAAGCATTTGAAACAGGAAAAAGAGGTCAGAGCAGGGAGGGCGCACAGGTCAGCTGAGAGGGGGCGAGAGAGGGTGCGGAGGGGGAGCTGGGGACGTCGAGGGTCGGGCGGCAGGTGCCGCGGGCACCACAGAGACGTCAAGACAGACAGCTCTGATCGCGGTGAGGGGGCACAGCGTGGTGGCCTTTCTCCAGGTCCCCGGAAACGGACCCTAACGCGGCTGTCCGGACAAGCTCGGGTCGGACCGAGCGGCTGCGTGAGCGCCCAGCTTCCGCCAGGGGCCCGGGGGCGGGCGCGGAGACCCGCGGGTCCGGGGGGCCCCAGTTGCCGACGCCCGGCTGTCCCACTGTCGTCCCCACGCGCGCTGCAGACCGTCCGGGGACAGCGTCCCCGGGCCGGGCACAGGCCACCCCTCTGCATCTCGGCCGGACGAGGCCCACGCATCTTGAGCGACGCTCTCCCGGGGCCGTGCGCAGGAGAGGAGGTCACTGTGACCCCAGGTGGGTGACGTGGGAGCTGAGCACGACGACACCCGGAATGACAGCGCTGGCGGCGAAAGGCGGAGACGCCTCGCGCCCGGTGAGTGTGAGGCTGCGGCCGCTCCCGAGGGGGACACGCGGCGGGGACACGCGGCGGGCAGGACCCGCTTTTCCGCAGCAGCCCCCGCCCCCCGGCTCGGGCTGGCTCGTCACTCAAGGCTGTTTCCGTTTCTTAATCGTGACTGCAGTTTGCGGCGATGCTGTCTCTTCTCCCGAGAGAGTCGCCTCCTGTGCTGCATTGAAAAGGATGTGGGTTCGGGGTGATGGAGGCGAGGGTGAGTCACGGCATGGGGACCACAGGTCAGATGCCAGCTCGCGGAGAGGACGAGGCGGGCACAGATGCCCCGGGGTCTTCACGGGGAGGCGGCCTGTCCCCTGCGACCTTGTGCAGGGGGACGTTCCACCACGGGCTTCAAGCGTACAGTTCAGAAGAGCATCATCTGCACGTGGCAGCGTGCGCTCACCACCCAAAGCCAAGCCGCCTCTGTCACCGTGCATCACTTCAATGCCCTTGGCTCAGACGGGTAGCTGTTCTCTGTTTCTGTGTGTCTCTAAATATTAAATGGGTATTTTCTCCCTTCTGCCAGATTTTGTGCCTTTGCAGCAAAGAAGTCGTCTTTTGAGTAGAGAGCAGTAGGGTAACTCCAAAATCTTGGAGGTTTAGCGTGTGTTTCAGAGGGTTCTGCTCTTTTTAAATCCTTCCAGTAGGTCAGGCGTTGTGTGAATTAATGGCGGCCTCTGGGTAGCTAATCCTCCTTCAGCCGGGGCTGCATTGGGCTTGCATGAGCTGCCTGTTGCATTTTTAATTCATAAATGGCAGTGATACGAAAAAAAACTATGAAAACCTCTCTTCGAAAATGCTTAAGTTAATGAATGTCAGATTATCAAAATTTTAATTGCAGTGGCTAATTAGACTTAGGCGTATCGAAATAGCTAAAGAATATCTTAAAAGTGATGTCTAGGTAGTGGCTCTGGTAGAGAGAAAAATTAGCAAACATACACATCGCGTTTCATTCTGTTTCTTTGCCAAACGAATGGCTGAGGGAACCACCTCGGCCGAAGTCGCTAGCAATGCAGAGGGTACTTTGAAGTGTCCCTGAGGCCTGTGGCCCTGAACCGTTCTCACCTAGACCTTGGTTTTCCGCTGACAGTCACTCTCTGACTCCAGTCCGTGTGACGGCTTTGTCTTCCGTCATCGTCACAGAGGCCCTCGGCTCTGAGAGCGACTGTTATCGACCAACTTCTCCGCGAGAGAATCTGTTCCTATTTAAAGTGGATCCTTTGAATAGCCATCCACAAGCTCCCTGTGAACACGTCCGAAGTGACGCCCGGTCTTTCGCGAGCTGTTCCGACTTCTTTTTCCAGTGATAACCTGGCGGTTGGTGACCTAGATGGGAACCTTGTGGAGTTTAACCCAGCCAGCAAGTTTATTTCTCAGCAAACAGTGTGGGCAAGCCGGTGGGATGTACGTGTCCGCCACCGGTTTCGCCCCTAAGCCTCAGTTTCCTCTTTGGGAGAGTGACGGAGTCACTGTGGGTGGCCCCGGGCCAACTGCACCAGGCTGTCCCCGCCCCCACACACACCCCCACCTCTGCCTCCGCCTCCAGCCCCAGGGCCAGAAGACAGGAGACCCCTGTCGTAAGCCTGCATCAGGGGCCCGTCATGTCCTAAATAAGTCTGCTGTGGGACACATAATCTCTAAAAGAAGGAACGAGAAGTGATGTCTTCACTGGAAAAAAAACCTTAGCACAGTGAATGGATCCATTTATCCACATGTGGACCACAAATCACGCAACCCCGTCGAAGGCTTGGGGACAGGGATGGGACGCGGTCGATGGATGCAAAGCGAGAACCTTCTCCTGGCTTCGCGGCTCCCATACTCACCACAGCCATTTCACCTGGCGACCCCACACGACTTCCCCTCAACAAACCCGAGTCTCTTCATATATGAAACTCGCGGAAACCGATGAGATGGAAGATGATTAGGTCTGATTAACGTAATTATCCGTTCTTTGATTCGGTGTCTTGTAAGTAGCTTTGAAGCGCGTGGACGGTGCGCTGTCTGTATTTCATCCATTTCGTGCAGAGAGGTAAGAACAGGGTCCGGGGGAAGCCAAGAGAAAACGCTGTGCATTATCTTAGACACGCCAGTATTTGGGGACAGATTTAAAGCCTTTTGTGTAAGCAGAAGCCGAGTGATTAAATTGGGTAACTTGTTACTTTTCTTCTAATTCCCAGCCGTCAGTGTGTTGCCACTGAGTTTAGATCTTTTCTCTGTTGTTGTTTATGTGTAGGAAATCGCTTTCCTAGAGATCAGCCCTTTTCCCCCCTAAACTGTGGTCACAGATAGAATGTTCCAAAGGGATGCTTTCCCGTTATTCCGCCCTTTAGGCTTGTGACGTTGTGACTCCATTGCCGATTTCGTTCCGTTTCCGTTGCTTGTTTTAATAACGTGATCCTGCACACTGCATTTGGGAGATGCACTTTATTACGGATTTTTCGAATGTTACATTAAGTGCTCTCTTATAACTTGAAGGATCAACATTTTAACACGATAAAAAGACTCCAGAACGAATTCAGAAGGTCCTAAATTTTTACATTTACGTGAACATGTTTTTGAAAATTTCCCTGGAAAATTGAGGACCTATGCAAGTCGGAAAGAAAAAACGTCTCCACGCGCACCGCTCCCAGGTGGCCGCATTATCTTACCGCTGTGTCCCCTCGTGCGGATTTCATTTTTCCGACCATGTTCGTCCCATCGATTCCAGCCTTCAAATCAATATAATTGATGGGGAAAAGTGGTCCGAAAATATAAGTTGAAAAGCTCGGCCTTTCTCAGTCCTCTCTTAGTCTAAATCAGTCGTGTACTCAGAATGGCGAACCGCAGGAAGCGAGGTCACGTCAGCTGGCCTCCGGTCATGTACTCAGAATAGCGAACCGCAGGAAGCGAGGTCACGTCAGCTGGCCTCCGCCCCACCTCGTACTCAGTGCAGACATAGGCCTGCGTGACGTCTGTCGCAAAGAGGGATTTTGCTTCTCTTGAGCACTTTCTAGAATGACGACTATTATTGTAAATCCTATCCTTGAACTAAACTTCAGTCTGTACTTTAAAATGCCTGCTATTGTCCCAAGGTGGCCATCTGCATCTTTAGAGAGACCTAACGGTTTATCTATCAACCACTTTTAAAGGTATTTAAAGACGGCCGTCACTGTCCTATGAAAGTCTCATTGTCTTCTCTCTGCTCCGGTCCCTTGAGCGTTCTCCCCAGATGGTTTCGGACCTTTTATTGTTTTCCTGCTGTCCTCACCTCGATTCTCCCCAGACTGTTGGTGACGTTTGGAAACAGTGCGGATTTTAAATACAGAAAGACTTCTCGGGCAATGGTCAGAACCCTAGGAAGGAAAGATTTCCCGGGGCCTGCCTCTCTCGAGCTACACTTTGTCACGGTCGTCTTAATGTGACCCAGGTTTTAACGATCACCTTACTTAGCAACGCTTTTACTCCGCATTGCAACGATGTTTCCATCAAAAATGTATTAAAATCGGGTTCATGCCAAACACTATTCAGGCGAATGTCCTTCCTGAGGTCCCTTTATCTGCGTGTAAAGCCAAGGCAGTACGGGCACCGCTGCTGATGCTCGTTTGGCTAGTTTTGTTTTATGATTTCCCCTTAGAAAATTGTTTTTAACGCTTTTATTCTATTTTATAATAGACTAGAAAACTCTCCCAGACTGGAGTCACCTGTCTTCTGATGTCTAATGAATGAGACAGTATTAAATTATATCTTAGAAAATCTCTCTCCAGGACTAGCTATATAACTTGTATATTTTATGACAAATGATGATGACAAATCGTCATTTATGACAGATGATGACAAAATATTTTAATTAACTGATACTATTTGAGTGCAGAATTTCAAGACCTATAAATCTGGTAAACTATATCTTTATGTAACCAAATTTCTTTAAAGCTGCGTGTCTTGGCTAGCACATAAAAATTCATGAACTATCATGCCAAAATTAAGATTTTCAACTTATGTAGCATTTAGTGTAGAGACCATTTCCAGCACCAAAGCAGGAAATATTTGTTTTAGTGTCGTTTAGTCTTCCAAACTCCTGCTAATTTCTAGAGAGGGTTCTAATTATTAAATAAGATTATAAGCTTCATAAACACCATGCATTATAAGGGATTATAAAAGGTTGGAAAAAATATCTTTTAATAATAATCTGTTCTAAAACTTTTTCTCAAAAACAGCATAAAAGATGCTGGTCAGGAGTTGTTCCAGAGGGTGCAGTCACGTAATCTCACCAGGAGGACGTGGCTCATATGCCAAAGGAGTGGCAAGTCATTGCGAATACACGTTGACGGAAAACCGGGCAATGAGCGGGCATGGATGATGCAGATGTCAGACCAAGGAGAGCAGGAGAAAACCCCAAATCCGGCCGAGTTCGTCGATAAGGGTTTACCTGCTGGAGATTCTGGGTTTTTAATTTCATTTCTTCTTTAATTTCTTTTTCATTGAGACATCACTGACATCTAACATGGTGTGAGTTTGCGGTGTAAAACGTGTTGATCTGACCCATTTCTGTGTTGCAGCCTGATTAGCATGTAGCGTTAGCTGACACCTCCATCGTGTCACATAGCTGTGTGTGTGTGCGTAGTGGGGACCGATGAGATTCTGCTTTTGATGTGTCAGCTTGTGCAGCGGGAGGCGGCTCTGAACGATAACTTGGTCGGTTGACTGGAAGTTGGGTTCCGTGGCAGAAACCCACAGGTGAGGGTCGCCCTGTAGAAGCTGCCCGAGCACGATGCGTCGTGTGCGGCTCTGTCCTGGGACGAGGCCCAGCAGACCCGGCCTCTGTGGCCGCTGTCCTCACGGCCGGCTTGAGGGCAGGGCAGTTTTTCATGCAGGTCCTACTGCGTTTTGCACAGGACAGTGCTTTGCTTTCGGAGACTGTCCCGTGCACTGCAGGACATTTAGCAGCACCCCTGGCCTCTGCCCGTGTCACCCGCCCCAAGTCCAGGTGTCGCCCAAGTGCCCGGGAGGGAATGAAATGGATCCTGGCGAGAAGCAGCATCCCACAGCTGTGACAGAGTGTCAGACCTGCTGGTGTAAAATGACACAGCGCCTCGTCCTCGTTCCGGGGCCTGAGGGCTGGCGGGACGGCTTCCTCGCGGAGGCTCCGGCAGAAAACCCGCCCCTGGTCGCTTTCCGCTTGGAGAGAAGCTCACGGCTTCTTTCTCTGCATGCGAAGCCGGCACAGCATCTCCTCCCTCTGGCCTCCCGTCTCCATGTTCGAGGGACACCTGCGGTCCCGTCGGCCCCACTCACATCACGCACAGCCTCTCCCGCTCAGATCGTCACCCGCGGCATCCGTCGCCGTGAGCTGTGACCCATCGTAGATTCCTGACATCGGGACCTGGACGTCTTTGCGGGAAGGGAGAGAGGACGTGACACGGCCGACCAGCTCCCAGGACAGTGGGTCACCCGACTTCAGTGGGAATGACAGAGCCACAGCGTAGCAGAGGCCCATGGCGGCATTTAATTGCAAAGACAGGTGAGCAGCACAGACACACAGGCGGTCAGGGCACCTGGGCCCACGGAGCTCTTTGGGGGCAGCGATTGATCATGTGTCCCCAGGGTTCAGATGTGCTGGGGACGACCATCTGTGTAACCTAAGAAGCTCCCAGTCCAGTGGCCGTAAACCTGAGTCGGGTCATAGCTTCTCACCCTGTGCCGGTCACAGACCCAGAGTCCCCTGATTTAGAAGGACGCCAAGGGCCCTGGAGGCAGCGCCTCACACCACGAAGCGTCATATATTTGACTATAATTTTCCCATTTACAGTTTCTTTTCAAACTTACCTCATCCCCTACATCAGCTTCTTCCCGTTCCTCGTTTTCGTTGAATGGGGACAGAATTACATCTGAGAGGAGTTCAAATGATCAGCCTAAGAATTAACTAAAAACAGTTTTTTGTGATATAGGGATTAGTCGTTCTCAAAATTTGAGTTCTATCAAAGAATATCTTAAATTTTCAAAGGCCAGAGTCCTGCCCCCAGACTTACTGGGGTCAGTGAGGGGGTAGGGGGTGAGGGAGACAGCCACATCGTCAACAGATGCCCAAGAAGCTTCCAG